ACCCCAAACACAAGCAGGTGAGCAGAACCCCCGTACAAATGCCCAGTCGAGCTCACGTATTTTTCTCTGGTGTTTTAGGTGGCCTCCACCTTGATGATCGTACAGATTAGACTCGACACGAAACTATCCATTTAGGAAACCGAGCCAACCGCCACCAATTTACATATACCACCACCAATCCCGAGAAAATGCCTCGACATAATCGAGAAACTTCACCTTTAAATTGGACGAGAGAGACTATCCGAACGTCCAGTGTCACTCGAGCGGATAGCGCTGCGAGGAGTTTGAGTACCGGACGCACCAGTAGCCACCGCCGGACGGCCAGTCAGAGCGAGGTCGCTCCCAAACTTGGAGGTCGTGCTGCGTTGTTATTGTTTATTGCCATTCTGGTCGCGTTCGTCGTCCAGAGTTCTGCCACTCAGGTGAGTATGGTTTCGTCGGCGACAGAAATAGCCGACCTATATTCACGACGCTAACGATTGACTACTTGTAGCATGTACAAAACAATTTAGGATTTCGTCATCCGTATCTAATATTGTAGGTATCAGTTCTATTCTCGAATCTAGACTATCGTTGACTGGGTTTAGCTTCATTGCGCACTCTTGCTTTTCCCTCATCTTCCCAATGCACCTCGCGTTACTCAAGATGGTCTCTGACAAGCCAACATCTTATTACATCTCTCTGATGCTACACACATTCCGCATCAACTTTCCCATCACCACAAACTTGAATGTGAGTGCCTCTCTACTCTTACTAGGCTGTACTAACTCCCACCAGGCTTCACCTTCCTCTTTCCTCACTCAGAAAATAGTAACCGCCATCCTACTCACGATCGCCATCGCGCTTCCCGGTCTGCTATGGTACATTGCTGTCTCCCTCGGTCCCTCCATCAGCGACGTCACCGCCATATGGAACACGAGCGCACTCTGGGCCTACATCCTCTCCGTCGCCATGTTACCCGTCGATTTTGGAACAGAGGCGCCCTCGGCTTGGTGGAGGAGATTGGAGTTGCGCAAATTGGTCGTCATCGCCATGGCATGTGCGGGTGTGGCCGTCGTCGTGTACTCCGGATCCGATGCTTCTTCAGATAAAAAGGATACGTCCGACGAGAAAAACAAGTCAGAGGTATCGGCACCTCTTCTTGGTAATCTGTTGACGGTTCTTGCTTCAGTGCTCTATGCGCTCGTTCAAGTGATGTACAAGAAATACATCGCATTACCGAACGATCCCTCTGAAGCTTCTGTATA